TCTTCTAATTACAGTGACATAGTAATACCTATATCATACAGTTTTAAGGAGTGTAGTATTGGGCACTCAGTAAGTTACCAAAGAATTGCTATTCATTTTTTGTGTCTTTGGGAGGGCGATAAGAAAGTATAAGAATAGAGGCACCTGGGTGGCTCGGTTGGTTAGGTGTCCGATTCTTGGTTTCGGCTCAGGTCATGAACTCAGTGTTCTTGATTGAGCCCCGCATTGGAATTCTCTTTCTCTCCCTCCCCTGTTCATGCTCTCTCTCTCTTACTATCTCAAAATTAAAAAAAAAAAAAAAACACTTAAAAAAAGGGAAGTATAAGATATTAATCAAGAAGGTAGATGAGGATCTACCCTTACTATCTCTGTCAGTTCTTGTACTTCTTTTAAAGTGGATTTTCAAGTTGGGACAAAGGACTTTTGGGAGTCTCTGTTTACTTGAAAGATGTTGAATCTGGCCAGAAATAAGGAGGAGATGGATATCAATGGAAATACTTTGTTGTGACATATTTTTTTTTTTGATGCAGTATTTTCCATCTCTGTAAATGGCAGATTCAATCCAATCTAATTTTGAGGCTTATGAAATTCTACTAACCTATCATTCCATGTAATTTATTTTCAGATTAACCATAAAAGTAATATCCATTTTCAGTAAAGATCAAAGAATCAGAACACATTATTCTTAGTCTACTAAATGTAACTTTTTAATTTCTAGAAGATTATGAGGTTCTGTGGTAAATGCATCCTTTATTATAAAGTCTGTTTATGTTGGGAATGGTAAATGATCATCAAGAGAGAATGGCAAGATTTTTTTTTAAGTTCTTATTTAAATTCCAATTATTTAATGTGTAGTGTAAACCCAAGTTTGCCCCTTAAATCCCCATCACCTATTTAACCCATCCGCCTACCCACCTCCCCTCTGGCGACCATCAGTTTGTTCTCTGTAGTTAAGAGTCTATTTCTTGGTTGGCCTTTCTCTCTCTCTCAATCTCTCTCTCTCTCTCTCTCTCTCTCTCTCTCTCTCTCTCTCTCTCTTTTTCTCCCTTTGCTCATTTGTTTTGTTAAATTCCACATGGCATGAGAGTTTTTAAACACCCTATCCAGAGCTTCTAATAAGTAACAGACACTAAAAAAAAACCTATCTTGACCTTAGGATGCTTATAAGACTAATTAAAAAGACAAAACATTAGTAAATGGAAAGATGCAAAGAAAGATAAAAAGAATTTCAGCAGGGGTGCCTGGGTGGTTCAGTTAGTTAAGTTGGACGGACTTCAGCCCAGGTCATAATCACACAGTTCGTGGGTTCGAGCCCTGCGTTGGGCTCCGTGCTGACAGCTCGGAGCCTGGAACCTGTTTCAGATTCTGTGTCTCCCTCTCTCTCTTCTCCTCCCCCGCTTGTGCTCTGCCTCTCTTTCTCTCAAAAATAAATAAACATTAAGAAAGGTTTTTAATTAAAAAAAAGAATTTCAGCAGAATTGCAGATAATTTGTATACTGAGGAGAGAAGATTGGCAAAGTAAAAAAAAATGAGTCAAGAGGAATAATTCTCTTTTTTTTTTTTAATTTTTTTTTTCAACGTTTATTTATTTTTGGGACAGAGAGAGACAGAGCATGAACGGGGGAGGGGCAGAGAGAGAGGGAGACACAGAATCGGAAACAGGCTCCAGACTCTGAGCCATCAGCCCAGAGCCCGACGCGGGGCTCGAACTCACGGACCGCGAGATCGTGACCTGGCTGAAGTCGGACGCTTAACCGACTGCGCCACCCAGGCGCCCCGAGGAAGAATTCTCTTAATAACTTACATTTATGATGGTAATTTTGATAACTAAAATGGATGACAAAGCCAGAACCATACTTAGAGATAAGAATTACATATATTGTATATACTCTAATCCTGTTATTCACTGTAAGAAGTATTAAAAAAAGATAATAAATGTGACAGAATACTGCCTTCATAACAAATGACTTAACAGGGTCTTCTTTTCTTTTATATGATTGAAAACCCCCTTAGGAGGTTATAGGTATTACCAAGCAAATGCAATTGGCATTCTTGAGTATATTCTTTTAAAAATATTTGTTGAAATCCTATTATATGTCAGGCCCCGTTCTAGGCACATGTTTATATTCTTTGCCTTACGTGTAGTGAAAAAGTATTTTCAAGCTGGCAAAGGGAAATCAAATTGTTCATTTCAACTTTATGTTTGTAATGTGTCACATTGTCATCAGATTTTAAATTTAGCTTAAGATTTTATTGAGTCATTCAGGAAATCCATCAAATCGACGATGTAGAAGTGAGTTTTATATACCTGGTTTAGGCCTTTATATTTTCTTAATATTTATTTTATTTTTGAGAGAGACAGAGAGCGTGCACGGGGGAGGGGCAGAGAGAGAGAGGGGGACAGAGGATCGAAAGTGGTCTCTGCACTGACAGCAGCGAGCCCAACGTGGGACTTGAACTCATGAACCATGAGATCATGAGATCATGACCTGAGCTGAAGTTGGATGCTCAACCGACTGAGCCACCCAGGCGCCCCGGTTTAGGCCTTTGTAATAAAGGCATGGATTTGCTGTTAGTTGTAATTAGGTTTAAAAACAAGTCTAATGTCTCTAAACCAAAACTTCTGGCAAGGTGTCAGGATTGTGTACTTACCAGCCTTACTACACTTCTGTTAATCAACATTACTGGGATTTACAAAGTACCTATTGGTTCTAAAAACATGAATAAATAGGAGATGAGTTAATTTACAGAAAGTCATACCAAATCTGGATTTTTAGGATTTAGGGGCACCTGGGTGGCTTAGTTGATTGAGTGTCCAACTTCAGCTCAGGTCATGATCTCACGACTCGTGAATTCGAGCCCCGCCTCAGGCTCTCTGCTGACAGTGCAGAGGTTGGAGCCTCCTTCAGATTCTGTCTCCCTCTCTCTCTCTCTGCCCTTCATGCTCTGTCTCTCAGTCTCTCAAAAATAAATAAACGTTAAATTAAAAAAAAAAAAAAGGTTTCTATGATTTAATCTTACCAATAAGTGCAAGGTACCTGGAATCACCAGCCCCCACTGCTCAGCTACTGTCTCCTGCCAGTGCCAGAGACACTTGGAATAGTGTTTATGATTTACACAGTTTCAGACTGGTTTCTAAAGAGCCCTGGGGTTCTGAGTACTGAGGCACTAGGTCATACAGAGATCACTTAAGTTTACTTTTCTATGCAAATGCCACCAAAATTGAGGCTGTCATAGCCTCCATGTGGAGAACTAGTGTCTGAAGGTTGCTGAGGCACTTTGTTTATCCTAGTGAATGGCCCTCAGATTCCTTACTGGGAATCGTACCTACTTCTGGGCCCCACAATTTAAAACAAGTGTGGAGTGGCACCTGGGTAGCTCAGTCAGTTAAGCCTCCTGCTCTTGATCTCAGCTCAAGTCATGATCTCATGATTGGTGGGATGGAGCCCCGTGTGGGGCTCTGCACTCACAGTGGGGAGCCTGCTTAGGATTCCCTCTCTCTCTGTTGCTCCTTCTGTCTCTCTCTCTCCCAATATAAAAAAATAAACATTAAAAAAAAAAAAAAAAAAACAAGTGTGGAGGACTAGGAGAGAAGTCTGAGTACGGGCCCAAGACAAGAACAGAGAATGAGACCTATGAGGAAACCAGAGTTATTTTACTTGGAAAGGAGAAGTCAGAATGACAATTTAATAATGGTCTTTCAGACATTAAGAATTATTACACTGACGTAAATGACCAGACTTTCTTCATGTGCAAAACAGTAAGAGAAGTAGAATTTCACTGTTAGCAAGAAGAATATAGTAAAGATCCAAAAGAAAAAAACAGCAATCAGACGCTAAGCCTATTTAATCAAAGGAATAGATCATTCCACACACTTTATGAAAGTGTTTTTATAGGCAATATGAATTCCTGTCTGTTTCATGTATTAAAAGTAATACTACCTGAAAGAACAGGGGCAAATTAAATGAACTTTGTTTTTCGACCCTGTGACTCAGTGATTTATCTTAAAGTTACATCAGAAGGTATAGATTTCAAATAATTATTTTGAATTAGAGTCTCATATCCCAGTGCTGCTAGGAGAGAAGCTACTTTCTAATGATGTTAGGGAAGTTAGTGGTGTGGAGCAACATTTATTCCAGGGGTCATGAACTCGCGTACTCACAGGGGTCTGCGGGTACCACGGAGTGAGCTAACAGCATGGAACAACACGGGGTGGTAAAAGTTGTGTATTTGAAGGTGTGGGACCCATCCAAAAGGGGACAGCCGCTGCTGACCAGCCAGTTGTTTTCATGTCGCAACATGCCCATTTTGCCAGATTTTTGGCTTTCTCCAGGAAAACTGGAACTCTAGAATCTCATGTGAATCTTTTATTTAGCATTGACAAAATACTAAGATTCATCAAAATACTGTTCAGGCAAAGCCGTACACGTCTGTGGGCTGTGAGTTAGAAACCTCTGGCTTTCTTTTCGGTCACTTGCTAACCAACACGTTTGTTAGCAAACAAACAAAACAACTGATTGAACTCTAAACCTTAGAAGAATTCATCTACTAAACCTTTGTAAGGCTTAATTAAGGTCCTTTCCAGCTCTGTGAATCTTTTGATCTTCTCTTCCTTCTTCCCTGCTCTCAGTAATGGGTGACTTATCCACTTAGTGGTGGGAATTTAAAGGAACTACTTATTTCCTTAGCAATATAATTTTATTTTGTAAAACCATCAAATGTTTAGACTGAAAACAACTTTTGTTGCTATACTAAAGATGCTACTGATGGCTATTACATTTTTAGGAATGCACTTATGTTTGGCATAGACATGTCACTTCAGATCTTTGAACTAACAACTGTTTCTAACATTGGCTGCATGAAGCATGCTTGACTTAAAAGCCTACTTACACTTCAGCATTTGGTGACATATTTTACTTCCCTTTTATAAAATATTTTCAAATAACCCACTTCCACCTGGGGTAAGGACGGCTCCATTTCTGAAATCCCCTTCCTTTCAGACAGGAGAATATGCCACAGATGAAGAAGAGGATGAGGTAGGACCTGTTCTTCCTGGCAGCGACATGGCCATTGAAGTCTTTGAGCTGCCTGAGAATGAGGACATGTTTTCCCCATCAGACCTGGACACAAGCAAGCTCAGTCACAAGTTCAAAGAGGTAAGCTGCTGATCGGCAAACTATTTTTTATACATGTCCATTTCATTATTAAATTTACATTTTTGTTTGAAAAATGTATTGAGAATCCGTTTTCAAAAGAAAACCTTTTGATAACAGGTTGTCTTGAATCTCATTGAATTTCAAGGTACAATTTAAGTAGATCTCATTCCACAGTCCTTAATTTTTAAATGCTTATTATCTGTCGTAGTGATAGCTTACAGCTTGTCTGTTCCATATTTTTAAGCTGTAGCTTAAATATCTGGTTTTCATGATAAGTTCAGGTTGTATTTTTTAAATTTTTATAGAATTTGGGGGACTTGATGATAAGCTTTCCTCTAAGGCAGTGATTTCTAAGAAAGTTTTTTTTTTCTTTTCTTAAAATAGACAAGGTCCCAAAAGGAATCAGACGACATACCTAAGGAATTTAATTGAAGAAATTAAAGTTTAATGAATGAACCTTGAACAGAATTAATATAACTACCCAGGGACGGTGAGGTGAACAGGGACTGGCAACAGCAGGAAGTTGTTGTTCCAACTTCCTCCCAAAAGAAGGCTTTAGTGGGAAAAGAGGAAAAGAGATTCCCTTTTTTTTTTTTTTTTTTTTTTTTTGTTTTTCGAAGAAGGGCATCTTTGTAAGATGCGGCCGCTGCTAAAAACTACATCCTGAGGATAAGGGTGCGTCATATACACTCAGCCCCTTCTCTTCTCCTGCAATTGCCTCCTATTGGCCAAACCCAGGCAGGAGTCTGAAGAGGTCAGCCTCCTGAGGCAGGAACTATTAGAAAAGGGCCAAAAATGGATCCTGAAAGGGCAAATGCAGGCAACCACATAAATTCTTCTTCTCCGAAATTAGCTACTCAGAACTCCAACATGTAAAACAGAGACAGTGATGAATGGGTCCCCACGCATTTTATTCTTCATTGTTTCAGGGAACATCCTCCATTATTGAAGGCAAGTGTGTCATTATTTACAGCTTCCCCACAATAACCCTGAAGCACTGAGGCTTGAAAACCATTGTTCCTTCTTTCCAGCCTGTTAGGGACTTGACCTTTTGGAAGAAAAGGTTCTCCTATACATGAAAAACAATGTTGATAATTGCAAGTTTGTAATTTCTAATTTTATTTCTAATTTCTAATTTTCTTTCATTCATAATTTCTAATTTTTTTAAATATAATTTCTGATGTATCGTCTAAGTAGGTCAGTTTTATATGTTCTGATGTTATACCTATCCGTGTCCTATATATTGACTTACCTTTTTAATTCCTTATGATAAATTTATACTTGTGAGACTAATAACAAAGTGAATGTACTTTTAAAATGTAAATTTTTGGGGTGCCTGGGTGGCTCAGTCAGTTAAGCGTCAGACTTCAACTCAGGTCATGATCTCACAGTTCATGGGTTCAAGTCTCACGTCAGGCTCTGTGCTGACAGCTTGGAGCCTGGATCCTGCTTCAGGCTCAGTGTCTCCCTCTCTCTCTGCCCCTCCCCCAATCGTGCTGTGTCTGTCTCTCAAAAATAAAAAAGACATTAAAAATTTTTTTAAATAAAATGTAAATTTTTGTTCAGAAAAAAAAGCCCTTAGGTTTATTATAGAATTTTGGAAAATGCACAGTTGTATAAACACCAAAAAAAAATCATTCATGATCCCAATTTTGTGGTATTTATGATTATACAGTATATACTATGTTAACTTCCTACTCCTGATACTTATAATTGCATTATTAGGATTTTCCCATGTCATCAAATATTCATCCATAAATGATGTTTATTCACTATATGGATCTCTTACTGATCTACTTAATTTTTGTCTTGTAACATTTCCTTTGTTTTGAGCTTAAAAATGTTATTATTATTAAAAGTTACACTGCAATAAATATTTTTATACTTATCCTTAGGATAATTTCTCACAGTGGAATTATTCAATCAAAGAATATCAGTATTTTGGGAACTTGTGGTACTTAATACCAAGTTGCCACCAAAATGGCTTTTCTCAGTGACACAGAAATTTATTTATGCCACCCAGTGTGTTGAGAGTGCCCATTTCTCTTCCACCTATTATTATTTGTCAGGTTGAACCATTTCCATTTGTATAGTACACAGAGTCCTTGAGGCAAAATATATGGGTTTTCCAGATGATTTATGACTGTTCCTAGTTCTAAATCAGATACAAACACCTTGGTGACAAATGAAGTACACTATTCTATAATGATCACAATACTCCTTTACATTAGGAGTAGCAATGCCTATCTTAGGGCCAATTCTTACAAAGGGTTTCTAAATTAACTGATATCTTCAAAGAGCAATGCAGAAAAAGAAAGTTCTGCTGGAAGCGGCTGAGTGGGAGGAAGAGGTAATCTAGGGACCTCTTTCTCTGAAGCTCCGATTTGGCCCAAGAATACAGATTATCTAGAAGTATAGATGGACCACTTGTTCTTTAAAAAACATCTTTGGGAATGTTGTAACTCTCAATCCAGGTTTGAGGCAGTGAAATCAAGGTAGTATATCTGGGCAAAGGCCTGTAATATAGCTTACCCATGTTGCCAATTGAGTATGGCCCTACTTTTTGGTAGATGATTGAGCTGGAAGTTGGGTCCACATTCTTTTATGGGAACTAAAGAGTATAAAAAGCAGAAATAGTATATGGAAGGTTATATCTCCCACTTTCTGAGTTGAGCCAAGGAGTCAATGCTCTGTAAATATTGTTTGAGGTGTGTACACCATTGTGCAGACAACTGCATGATCTAGACCTAGGGGTTGGTGAACTATGACCTATTGGCCAAATCTAGCCCACTGCCTTGTGTTGTAAATAAAGTTTATTCAACACTGCCATGGACATCTATTTATTTATTGTTTGTGGCTGTTTTCAGGCTATAATAGCCAACTTAAGGAGTTACACAGAGACCATGTGGCCTGCAAATCCTAAATTATTTGATATCTGGCTTTATACGGAAAATGACTGCTGACTTTGGTGTATCCCACTGCATAATCTGGACCCATTCTGTGTAACACAGCTGATTTATTTTTAGCTTGAGTAACTGAATCCGTAGTTTTGTTTTAATTTTGGTTCTTAAGAATTGGAGGTTTGTCCTCACCTCAAGATTAAGCAAATACCACATTGTTTCACTTCTAATTCTTGTATTCTTATTTGTGATATATTTAACAGATTAATATATTCATTTCTTCGGGAGATGGCCACTGAATATCAGCTGTGTGGCATTCCATCTCAGCATTTGTGTCTTGTACACTGCCACTCTCACAGTTTTAAGTTTCTTTGTGTGATTAACATAAATGTCCAAGTAATTTACAGCACCAGATATTTTTCACAAGATTCCATACAAATGGGGTGGAGGTGGAGAGTCATGTGTATTGGAGTCTATACAAAGTCTTCTGTTACAGAGAGTTCTCTCGATTACATTATATCAAACAGAAGCACATGCTGTACTCTTTGAGCAAAATGTATTAGACTGACATTATCTCAATCAGTCCTACTTTTGGCCAATTTCCTATCTTCTACCAGCCTCTATGCTCCTCTGTTTTTGCTTGCTCTTGTAGGTTTTCACATATTTCTTCATATATAATTAGTGGTTAAATATTTGGTGAATCAGTGGTATAAAGCATACACCGTAATTTGTATAATTCAAGACAGGCATCTAATTTAATTTCTCCAAGTAGTTGACAAGATAGCTGGCACTTTTATTCAACACTCATTTATGCATTTCCCTCTGCTTGGAAGGCCAGCATTATTATCCACAGAATTGGTGCCTTTGCACTCTGGACTACTTTTGGCCTTATAATCAGTTCTGTTTTCTCATTCTTTGGTACAATGCTGTTAGAATATATATTGAATTTTGATGGAGTAAATCAGATTCATCTAACTCTTCAAAATTCTGGTAGTGTTCAACCTATTCAAGAAAACATTTGAATCACTTTATTAGTTCCCTTGGAAAAACTTCTTTGCATTTTTATTGTAATTACATTAAACTACTAAATTAACTTGCAGAGAGCTGGCATTTTTATCACATTGACTCTTTTAATCCACATTTATGTAATGTATCTGTTTAATTGAAGTCTTTTTTTTCTGGCCCTCTCTAATATTTTATCGTACCCTCTATTAGTTACACAAGCTATAAGTAACAGAAGATCTTAACTAGAGTGGATTAATCAAAAGCTGCCACAAAGGTTCTCTATTAGCTTCAATATAAGTTAAGAAGTTTTCTCAATTTCTCTATTTTTAGAAATGACTTTTATAAGATAGACTTAATGACTTGCATAAAACTAATTTCTGTTCCCTGAAAGTTTGTTATTATTCAGCTATAAAACCATCTGTGCCTTTGTGGAGGAAGATTTTAAAAACCTTTTATAATAATAGCCATTACTGTCTTCAAGGTTTCAAGTTTTTCTTGGGCCAGTTTTGGTATTTTGCATCTCTCAAGAATTTTATATAGTTCCTCTGGCATTCATATTTTCTAACATTTTGATCTACAATATACTTCTTAAGTACTGAAATCTTTAATGTCTATAATTATTCTTATTTTCTTCTTTTTTATTTGAATATTTTTCTTAGTTGTTTTATCTAGAATTTTTGTCTATCATGTTAGCCTTTACATGCCTAATTTTTTAATTAAAAATACTTATTTTGTTATTTCCTACCAGTATCTTATTTTTGCCCTTCTTTCTTGTTTTGGTATTGATCAATTGTAGTTAGTACTCTATTTTTGATAACTCTTGCATTCTGATAAATATATTTAAAGCTATACTTTATCTAAATATTCATTTTTAGTTACATGTTCCAATTTTTTTACATTTAGAATGTCACTGTCATTTAGATGTAATTTCTCTTTAATACTTTAATATAAAAGAGGGGTTTCCTCTTTAATATAAGAATGATTTAGTGGTATATTTTACTTTCCAGACATATGTAACTTTGTTTTGTTCTTCTTTTGTTATCAGGTTCTAACTTTATCACATTTTGGTCAGAAAACATGTTCCATATGATAGCT